CCGTTGACGTTGTTGTAGACATTTCGGACGGGTTTTACCCGGCCCTTAAAATATTGAGCCTATCGTGCCACTGTTTGACACCTTCGGAAAGGTACAGATTTCGTGTGCTTATATTTTAGCGATCAAATTTTAAATTCAGTTTTATCTTCAAAAGCGCCGTCCTTTCTGCAGCTGCCACTGATATGCCACGCCATGAAGGAGATCTTGTAAGTGCAAACGCCGCCAACAGCAATAAAATGGTTAGTCCCCACAATAAGATTTGCAATTTTTAATTTCCACAGACAAACGTTTAATTGACAAAGTCGTTCAAGGCAAAGTTTCTACGTGTACAGTTTCGCAGGCGCCACTGCAGAAGGTAGCAACGAGCAGTCAAAGTCCCACGTGGAAAACCAGCGCAAGCGCTCGCAACGTTCAAACGACATTGACAACCCGTATGTCAGGGGTGAAAATTCTATAAATACAGAAATCGCTATTGCGACAATTCCTCCCAACACAGCCCTGACCGAAAAAGCCGATAAAGAAAATCGCGACATTATGGAGCGGAAAAGGATAGTCAATAAAAGGATACCAAAGTAGTATGCCGTGAGGTAGTGGTGCAAGTACAGCTGCCTTCCCATGAAGAAAAACGGCAAATAGTGTAAGATGTAGGCAGAATAGACTATTCCGCCTTTCCTTAATGGATTCAATAGTGAAAATGTTTTGACCTTCATTTTGGAATATCTTTGTGACTTGAGGAAGCAAACAAAAACATATGCAGAGTACGAAAAGACGGCAAACGAAACACAAAGCCAAATTAATGGATTTCCAATCAAGTGGATCTGCTGTCCTTGGTGCGAATATTTCATGTTTTCATCTTCCCTGAATGAGCCATGCGTCCATGTGATACGCTTTACATCGTCCTCAATTTCAACGGTAAAGTTTCGTGAATGTCCTTGAGAGCCAGACCAAAATGCAATTCCCCTTAACAAAAATGGCCATGATAAGGGGCGAGAGCTATAGTGGTGTGGTGCTACTAATCTCTTGTTCAGGTTCCACATTAAACAATGTAGCTCGATGAAAGAATCCCAAAATCCAAGTCTTTGGTAGGTAACGTTTTTGAAATCGGTGGATGGAACTGGGGTTAATAAGAAAGCTTACTTGAAGGGTGAGTATTTGTCTCAAAGACCAACACACTGTGGGAACGAAGGGTATTTCTGCCGCACGTTACCTCTGACTGGTGAAAGGCCCAATCAGGAAGGCCCTTCCCGAATGAGGTTAGCGAGCAACCGGTGTTCGCATGCACAAGCTTGAAGAACGTTCTTCTCGCTATGATAGGCTGCATAACTGGCGAAAAGGGATCTCTGTCAAGATCAATAAGAAGGTTTTTCTCTTCGTTCGGGATAGCATTTAATTCGGTTGATTTCTCTCCTTGAAGAGCATCGATTGGCAGAAGACCAATTGAGCTGTTATTTTTAAGCCCCAAAGAATAGTCATCTTTAAGGTCCAAGGAGCCGCTACTTTCATCAGAAAGGGGATCTTCATGCTCTGACACCTGGGATTCATGTTCTGACACCTGGGATTCATGTTCTGACACCTGGGAT